GATTTCTCATGGAATCATAGAAGTTTTTATGTTCCTCAGAAACACATGATTCCATGGACCTTATCTTATCCATTAATGATAATCTTTCTTCCTTATATAGTGTCTGGAGAGTTAGTGTTCTGTCCATTAAATATTCACATTTATTATCAATAAGATCAATTTTTGGTACAAGCCTGTTTTGTAAATCCTGATCAGCCGATTCCAGAGAAAGAATCTTTTTCTCTAAGGTCTCATTGCTATCCGTTAAAGCAGATTCCAGAGATAGAATCTTTTCCTGTAAGCCTTCATTGTTAGTTTTGAAAGCCTGTAAATCCTGGTTAGCAGATTCCAGAGAAAGAATCTTTTTCTCTAAAGTCTCATTGCTATCCGTTAAAGCAGATTCCAGAGAAAGAATCTTTTTCTCTAAGGTCTCATTGCTATCTGTTAAAGCAGATTCCAGAGAGAGAATCTTTTTCTGTAAGCCCTCATTGTTAGTTTTGAAAGCCTGTAAATCCTGGTTAGCAGATTCCAGAGAGAGAATCTTTTTCTGTAAGCCCTCATTGTTAGTTTTGAAAGCCTGTAAATCCTGGTTAGCAGATTCCAGAGAGAGAATCTTTTTCTGTAAGCCCTCATTGTTAGTTTTGAAAGCCTGTAAATCCTGGTTAGCAGATTCCAGAGAAAGAATCTTTTTCTCTAAGGTCTCATTGCTATCTGTTAAAGCAGATTCCAGAGAGAGAATCTTTTTCTGTAAGCCTTCATTGCTCTCGCTTAAAGCCTGTATCAGTCCCAATAATGACTCATCTTTGTTCTTGCTATTAAACCAGTGTTTGAACACTGTGTGGATTATTACAATGAATACCAAAATGGTACAGGCCAGATATGCCTTAGGAAGGTCATATATTTCCAGGAAGATGTCATTCATCATACAGGCAAAAAGGTTTTCAAATTCTTGTGAGGTAATGTTGTCAGCCATATTACAAGAATTACTCAAAATTTGTTAGTCAGTTTTAAGGTGTAAAATTATCAAGTACTTCTACTTGAAATAAAACGCTGGTTTGCTTATCTTACCTTTCGGTGGTGGTGGGGTTGTAGTGGCGCTTTTCAGCCAGCAGGAGGCGCTGGTACAGCTCCAAAGCAGGGCCTGCTGGCAACCTTGGCGGGCGGCAGCTGGAGGCAGGAGCCAGGATGTCGGGGAGCCAGATGGCGGGAGCCGGGATGGTGGGAGCCGGATGGCGGGGAGCCGGATGGCGGGAGCCGGGATGGCGGGGAGCCGGATGGCGGGAGCCGGGGCCCGCACTCGGGGAGGAGGGGGATCGCCTCACTCACAGCGGTTTTTCGCTGGTCTGGGGGCTAAGCTAGGGAGCTGAGACCGGACTAGCTGCTCCCTTTTTCGGGAATGGAACCGTGTAGGCGTTCCCTGGTTCTATGGAACTCTGCAGGCGGGTTTAGGTACCCGCCAGCCGGCGAGAAGGCTGAGGGCGGGAGCCACCCAGGCCTTTGGAACTTGCCCCACGTGAGCGCCAGATATTGGTGAAATTATTAAGGCCACTCCACGTAGTTAAAAGGAGATTTATTTAATGGCGTAACTTACAAATTAAGGAATAGGTAGGTCGCGGAGTCTGGGGAAGGTGTATCACAGTCCAGCGGTGTTCTCTGGAGCTCTGCTCAGTCCACCTCTCCAGTCCAGGGTCCCGCAACAGAGCGAGCGCCCTCCGATCCAGATCTCGGGTCCCCCGGCACCTCCCTTGGCCCCGCCTTGTAGGCGTGACAGTTGCCGAAGTCTCAATGGGGGTTGGAACTTCCAGATCAAAGCTGGAATGGCTACCCACTACACATAATACATATATAAAATAAAAATTTAAAAATTATCTAATTTGAGAATAATTTTCTTGGTGCATTTCTAACCAAATAAAAGGCCATATAAATTATGAATTAAAAAATAAATAGATAAATTATGAATTAAAATTAGATACCATTTTAAAGTAATGCTGTGACTCTTTGGCTCTCTTAATAGAATTCTCCGAGCTGTCTTAAGCATCTCCGAAACATCTTTTCTTTTAAATTGATGGTGCTCGGTTGGAAGCCGGAACCTCACACATAAAGGTCAAGCAACTCTACCAGACTATACATACTTAGCCTGGTTTCTTCCATTGTCAGACCTTTATACTTACTGGTTAACAGTTTTAAAAAAATGTGTTTTGTTTGCCTCAAAATGGAAGCCCCTAGCCTTTCAGGGGTGGTTAGCTGGGCTTCTCTGCGGTGGCTTGGGACTCCGTAGGAGCTGTGTGGTGACATGCACACAGGACCTGGTGACAGCCTGGCTCCTGCTTTCCTCTCCAGCCAGGCTGGATGGTTTTCTTGCTCTGATACTGGCCGGTGGTCCCCGGGCTGCTTCCTGGAGTGAACAGAGCTGAGGAGAGACTGTCACTTCTCTTCTGACTTCACTGGAGCTCAGCTCAGCAGGCAGCTGGCCCAGCAGGTCCCGGATAATCCCAGCCAGCCTGCCAACTGCCCGCCTCGGTGGCATCTCTAGTCCCAGGCTCCACTTGTAGTACGGGTGTCTGCTCTCATCCTCTCTACATCCCACAGGCCAGCTCTGCCACAGCAGCACAAGCCTGGGTGTATGACACTCAGGTGTGAGTTTATACTATAACCCTGGGACAGAAATTGCCCAAGGCAGTGTCTGGTGCACATGATATGCTCGGTCAGTGGTGGAAATTGTCGTGAAAATGCTACAATTACCAAGTTAAAACGTAACACAGACTTGCAATCTGCCTCAGATGGCTGGGCTAGGAGGATTACAAATTCAAGGCCTGTCGGGGCACCTCAGTGAGTCCCTGTCTCCAAATAAAAAGTAAAAGAGGGATGGAGGTGTATGAATGGCAGAGCACTTCCCTAGCACACATGAGGCTCCGGGTTCCTTCCTCAGTCCCAACATGAAGAAAGAGTGTCTGTGTAAACATGCTAGGACAGTTTGGTGTCACTGCTTTTTTAACAATATGTAATTGTAGCATTTTCATTATTTACTGAGTCTGTGCAATTAGCTTTCCCTGATGAATAGTACCTAGGCAAAAGGGGAAAAGAAATGCTAGCATAAATCCATCACTAATGATAAATGATGCTCAGGATTGCATTTGGATATGCTGGTACTTGCCAGAGATGTATTAACCTCAGTCCTTTAACTGGATTTTAAATTTATCCTAAAGCGTCTTAAAAATCTGTAAACTTTGAGAATGTCTAAGAGGCTTCAAAATAATTTCCAAGATAAAAACAATTTTGAGAGATTAAGATGCAGACATTTTCCCATTAAGTTTAAAATTAAATTATACTATTAAATTACGGTTTACTTATTCTAGAACAATGGTTTTCCTCACTCTAGGGGGCCCTTAGAGGTGTTATGGGAACCAGGGAACGGGAAGAAAGGGGCAGAGAGTCTTGCAGGGACAAGTGGGAATGTCCCTCGGCGACTGCTTCCCGTTCCGCTGCACACAGAGGCAGGGTTGACCACAGTGAGAACTGACCCCTTGAGTTCTTGATGTATGTATACCCCACACTGTTGGTGGTCAGGAGTTAATGGCATGCGTTGGTGAAAAGGGGGAAAGACAGACATGAAATTCCACTGCTTTCTTATGGCCTCTGGAAACTCGGGGAACTGCTTAGGAAATGAGTCAAGCCAGTCTGATAGCAAAAACAGCCCAGAACGACCCTGTAAGCATCTGTATTTATTTGTCTTATAGACTACAGCAACCTTGTCAGAGAAGACAGCATGGCAGAAGGATTTCCTGCCTCCAACGGGGTTGTTTCCACCCATCTCCTTAGTTTCTGGTTGAAAAACCTCTCTTCTGTGGGGCGGCGGTGGTGCACGCCTTTAATCCCAGCACTCAGGAGGCAGAGCCAGGTGGATCTCTGTGAGTTTGAGGCCAGCCTGGTCTACAGAGGGAGATCCAGGACAGGCACCAAAACTACATGGAGAGACCCTGTCTCGAAAAACAGAAAGAGAGAGAGAGAGAGAGAGAGAGAGAGAGAGAGAGAGAGAGAGAGAAGAAAAGAAAAACCTCTTTTCCTAGGAAATCTTGATACAGAGTCTAAATCTAATACAGATGGAGGTGGTGTGGGCACTGAGAGGGTGGAGAAGCTGGTGTGTAAAACTGGCTGCTGTTCACGTTGTTTCTTCTTAGATCTGTGGTTGCTCCACAGCTTTGCCCACAAAAAGGTATATTACTCTGGAAGCACTTGGACAGCCAGACCCAGGGCACTCCAGGAGTGAGGCAGGACGCTACTGAGATGCCCAGTTACAGCATGCAGCCACCTAAATCCAGCCAAGTTACACTGCAAGTTTCCTCCAGTGTATCATGTCGGTCATGTTCTAGAACAAAGTCAGAAACTCTTGGCTTTTTTCCCCCCGAGGCAGGGTCTCTCCACATAGCCCTGGATGTCCTGGAACTCCCTCTGTAGACCAGGCTGACCTCCAACTCAGAGATCTGCCTGTCTCTGCCTCCCGAGTGCTGGGATTAAAGGCATATGACTACACCCAGTGTGTGTGTGTGTGTGTGTGTGTGTGTGTGTGTGTGTGTGTGTGTGTGTAAATGAAGAGCCATAAAAAATATTTGGGCCAGCTCTGAAGAGTTGGGGGACTGTAATAAGAGTCTGACGTCTCAGATCTAGAGTCTCCTGTGGGATTGAGGAATGGCTATAGCTATGAAATGATGCCCAGGGTGCCCTGGTCTCACTGTTCCGCCACTCCTTCCTGTTAACAGATGTTCTGTTGTATTCATCTGACTAATACTGTTGGCCTATATGATACCGTCTTTACATTTCAAGACTAAAAGTTAAAAAGCTGGGCATGATGGCTCATACCTGTAATCTCAGCACTTGAAAAGCTGAGGCAGAAGGGTTGCCATGAGTTTAAGGTCACCCTAGACCCCGAAACTCTCTCTCCAAAAGAGAACAAAATTAAAGGTAAGTCTGTGTTTGTTCCCTGCGGTCCAGTGTGCCCATGCGTATCTCTTGCTCTCTGTCAGTTACAGTTATATTCGGAGGCCAGTGTCGCTCTTCTAAAATTGAATAACCCCAAAGGTTTCCAAGAGCTCAACCAGCAAACCAAGAAGAACATGACCATCAATGGGAAAGAGCTGACCATCAGCCCTGCGTATTTGCTGTGGGACCTGAGTGCCATCAGCCAGGTAAGGGGTATGGACCTCTACAGCCAGGGAAGGAGTGTAGACAGGGAAGAGGTGTAGACTTCTACAGCTCAAGGAAGGGGTGTAGATCCCTACAGCCAGGGAAGGGACATAGACCTCTACAGCTCAGGGAAGGGGTGTAGACCTCACAGCTCAGGGAAGCATGTAGACCTCACAGCCAGGGAAGGGGTATAGACTTCTACAGCTCAGGGAAGGGGTGTAGACCTCTACAGCTCAAGGAAGGAGTATAGACCTCTACAGCTCAGGGAAGGGTTATAGACCTCTACAGCTCAGGGAAGGGGTGTAGACCTCTACAGCTCAGGGAAGGGGTGTAGACAGGGAAGGGGTGTGGACCTCTACAGCTCAAGGAAGGAGTGTAGACCTCTACAGCTCACGGAAGGGTTATAGACCTCTACAGCTCAGGGAAGGGTTATAGACCTCTACAGCTCAGGGAAGGAGTGTAGACCCCTACAGCTCAGAGAAGGGGTGTAGACCTGTACAGCTCAGGGAAGGGGTGTAGACCCCTACAGCTCAGGTCAAGAATTCAGAATGTCTGCCGTTGGCAGAACAGCTGAGCTGGGAGAGCGGTGGGCTGAAGAATTAGAATGTGAAATATCTATAGGTCAGATTTAGTAGAAGGGAGAGGACTTACTGAAAAGTGGCTCGTTAGGACTTTGCCAAACTTCTGTTCTCTGCCATTGGTTTGCCTCTTATTAAAAAGAGCAGAGATGACTCAGCTGTTAGGAGCACTTGCTGCTCTTCCAGAGAACCTGGGTTTGGTTTCAGCACCCACACTGGACAGCTCATAATCTCCTATAACTCCAGCTTCAAGGGATATCACACCTTTTCTAGCCTCCAGGGGTACCCACGTACACATACCCTCACACACTCACTTACTTATAAATGTAAATAAAATAAAGCTTTTGGTCAGGCTAGATGGGACATGCCTTTAATCCCAGCCCTCTAAAGGCAGAAACAGGCGAATTTTTATGAATTTGAGGCCAGCCCAGTCTACATAGTGAGCTCCAGGCCTGCAGGACCAATCGGATCTAAGACCTTTTATGTAAAGTATAATAAGGAGATGGAATGTCTGTCTGTCTCTCTCTCATACACACACACACACACATACACACACACACACACACACACACACACACACACACACACACACACACATACACACACACACTCATGCGCGCACACATTTTAAAGTTTAGACAGAGCCCCTGTCTTAGTTTCTTTTGCTGTGATGAAACACTGTGACCAAAGCAACTTGGGGAGGGGAGGGTTTGTTTGGCTTACACTTCCACAGCACTGTTCCTCATTGAAGGAAGTCAGGACAGGAACTCAAGCAGGGTAGGAACCTGGGGGCAGGAGCTGATGCCAGGGAGGGATGCTGCTTACTGGCTTGCTCATCATGGCTTGCTCAGCCTCCTTTCTTCAGGACCACCAGCCCAGGGATGGAACCACCCACAATGGGCTGGGCCCTCCCCCATGCATCACTAATTAAGAAAATGCCCAGCAGACTTGCCTGCAGCCTGAGCTTATGGAGGCATTTTCGTACTTGAGGCTCCCTCCTCTCAGATGACTCCAGCTTGTGTCTTTATGTGCCAAACGTCTTCCCGTCTCCCAGTCCAAGCAGGATGAAGATGTATCTGCCAGCCGTTTCGAAGATAACGAAGAGCTGAGATATTCATTGCGATCCATCGAAAGACATGCGCCATGGGTTCGGAATATTTTCATCGTCACCAACGGGCAGATTCCATCCTGGCTGAACCTTGACAACCCTCGAGTGACAATAGTAACCCACCAGGTGCGTGACTTTGCAGGTATCACAAGGCTGTGGTTTCCTGTCTGGGCTTTCAGTGTGGCGCAGTGATCCGTCTCGACCTCCATGTCCACCTCTTTGAATTACCAGTCTCCTCCCTTCTCTCTGTCTGAATGCCCAGCCAAAGCGAAACAGCTCACATTCACCTTCTACGTGTGCCTCTTCTGTTAAAGGACATCTTCCGAAATCTGAGCCACCTGCCTACTTTCAGTTCACCTGCTATTGAAAGTCACATTCATCGCATCGAGGGGCTGTCGCAGAAGTTTATTTATCTAAATGATGATGTTATGTTTGGTAAGGATGTTTGGCCGGATGACTTCTACAGCCACTCCAAAGGTCAGAAGGTAAGTGCTAAGATGGGTGGGCGCCTTGTTGGGACATCAGTAGCAGATGAGGAAAAGACATTTCCTCACGCATCTGTGTGTGCATTTCTGTATGCAAGTATCAACAGCTATGCATTTGTGACTCCAAGCTCAGCAGAGTCAGGGTTAAGGGTAAGAACACGGCCGTGGGGCATTGCTTTCCTGCTACTCAGATGAACAGAGTTCCCCTTTCCTCCTTGACCTGTCATACATTCTACTGTAGCAAAGTCACTTTGCAACAGAATTGCAGCTTGAGTGACAGCAAAATGACCAGCACACAAAATTAGCTTAAAGAAGTGTGTGTGTGTGTGTGTGTGTGTGTGTGTGTGTGTGTGTGTGTGTGTGTGTGTAATGTATGTGTATGTGTGCACGTGCAGCACTGGGGGGGGGGGGAGTGGGAGGGGGTGATGAAGTTTCATGTAAGGTGGCCCGTCTGGCTCAGGCTGTGTTGGAGGAAGGGGGAGGGAGACTGAAGGTTTAATCAGGTGGGATGGGGAGACCTGTCTGAATTGAACCGGATTTGTTTGTTTTTTGTTTTCTGCTGGGGATCAGGCTCAGGAACTCATCTATGCCAGAAAAGTACTCTACCATAGAGCCAAACTCTAGCCATTGCCAAGCTCTAGTTTCCGGTTAGATTTAAAATATAAATTCTGAATAAATGTAATGTGCAAAGGAATGGTGTCTTTAAAACGGGAGGGGGTGTGTTTATCTTCAGTAGATTTAATTTATCAAGTAGCCGTGCACTCGCTTTGGGAGCTCAGGATGTTGTATGAAATAATTTGCCTAAGCAGGGCCTTACCGTGGAGGTTTTAGGCCGGTAGCACTCACCTTCTCCTTCCCTCAGCCTTGAGGCGATTATGCAGAAAAGCACTCAGGTTGCTAAGTAAGTGTCACAGCTGAGGAGTGACCTGCAGCAGAGCCCCGTCCTCCCTTGACATGTTTTTGTGTTCATATGTAAGTCTGACACGTTGCTATTTTATTTAGAAGTAGATTATAAAAGCATGATACTAAAACGAATCCACGAGTCCCTGTTCTCTGAAGCGACTGGAAGAGAACAGCCATGCTCGGCCGGGTTTCACTCGACAGCGGGCATTGGCAAGCCAAGGGCAGTGCCGAAAATCAGCTGCAGTCGTCTTGGGGAAACCTTAGAGGCTCGATGTCTTTCTCAAGATATTTCAACTAGAGAGTCAAAGGTGTCAGAATTTGTTGTAGTTTTTTCTCTTTGGTTTTTCCCGCAGGTTTATTTGACATGGCCTGTGCCCAATTGTGCCGAGGGCTGCCCCGGGTCCTGGATTAAAGACGGCTACTGTGACAAGGCCTGCAACAACTCCGCCTGTGACTGGGATGGTGGCGACTGCTCTGGTAAGGATGTGCTCAGCGTGACTTGTTCGTCTTTTCATCCTTAGTCCTAAGACTACGCGCTGTTGGCTTCCTAAACCGTACGCTGAAACATTCCAGAATCCAGACGTTCCTGGTCGGTATGGCCATGTGGCCCCGTTGATTCACGGTATCCATTATTGAATGCGTTTCTCTGATGTAGGCTCTGCACTTGAAAATACCTTTTGTTATTAAAGTAGCTAGAATACTCTTCATTAGGTAAACCCAAGGATTATTCCAGCTGGTTCTACAGGCGTCCATGGCAGGAGCTTTCAGGGGGAAATTGCAGTAGGCTGTGAAATGATCGAAGCTACAGAATAAATAACCCTTATCTTCTTAGCAGCACCCCTCCACCCACTCACCATTGGACTTGATGTTGGCACTTTTGAAAATATGTTTACTTACTGCCTTTCAGTTCATAAAGCACTAAATTCTAGAATATTATTTATTACCCTCTTGATTTGGGGGGCTCTGAGAAAGAGAGGCACAGATGTCATCATCCTGGTATTCTGGACTAGGAAATGGACTTGGAAATGTGCTGACTATTCGAGGAAACAGAGTGTCGCAGCTGTGTCTTCGTCTTGTCTGTCAGCTGCCCTTTTGTGAAATCTAGGCAGCTGCAGGGAGAGAACACAGGTGTATAAAGCAGACCTAGCAAAACGTTAATGTTTGACGGTGTTAATACCTGTGTCTGGACTAGGTTTTGGGAATTCTGAGTCATGGTCCTTGGAATAATCTCTTTCCCTTCTCCAGCTTGGCTCTGCCCATCTTAATCACCACTGCCTGTACTCTTCCACGTGAACTCCCTTCCCTTAAGACACAGGGAGTCTTCTGTTAAAGGATGGGATGGGCCTCTGTAGCTGCAATCCATGCATCAGTCTTGCAAACATTAGTAAGAATGATGAGCTATTTGCCTTCATAGTTGTAAGCCCAGTAAGGACTCTTGCTTCGTCCTCCCTCTACAGGTAACAGTGGAGGAAGCCGCTATGTTGCAGGAGGTGGGGGTACCGGGAATATTGGAGTCGGACAGCCCTGGCAGTTTGGTGGAGGAATAAACAGTGTCTCCTACTGTAACCAAGGATGTGCGAATTCCTGGCTCGCCGATAAGTTCTGCGACCAAGCCTGCAACGTCGTGTCCTGCGGGTTTGATGCTGGTGACTGTGGACAAGGTATGCGTGTTGCCATGGAAACATCAGAAACAGAGGGCTAACCCCACAAATAGGGGAGCACTAGATGGTTGTCATCATTTACAGTAATTCTCAAGTGGGCGAAGAGTTGGAAATCAGTCATCGAAATGTATTGATTAGGGCTGGAGAGATGGCTCAGAGGTTAAGAGCACTGGCTGCTCTTCCAGAGGTCCTGAGTTCAGTTCCCAGCAACCACATGGTGGTTCACAACCATCTGTTATGAGATCAGATGCCCTCTTCTGGCATATAGGCATACATGTTGGCAGAACACTGTATGCATAATAAATAAATAAATCTTTATTTTTAAAAAAAAAGAAATTTATTGATTAAAAATCATGTCACATCTCTGTAGTGAATCAGGGTTAATGTTCCATGTAAAGTGCTGTGGCCAGCTCAAATGATATGATGAGCCATATCCCCAAACCTTGTATTAGAATTTGTGAGCATTTTTAAATGGATGTAAAGTCACCCTTAGAAAATGAGAACTTGAACCGAGAGAATTAAGGAAAGGCAGTAAAGATGTCTAATTAAAAAGAAACCATGTTTGTGTTTTCTCCTCCAGATCATTTTCATGAACTGTATAAAGTAACACTCCTCCCAAACCAGACTCACTATGTTATCCCCAAAGGTGAATACCTGCCTTATTTCAGCTTTGCAAAAATAGCCAGAAGAGGAATCGAAGGCTCCTACAGTGACAACCCAATTATCCGACACGCATCCATTGCAAACAAGTGGAAAACCATCCACCTCCTACTGCACAGCGGGATGAACACAACCGTGATCCACTTTAATCTCACACTCCAAAACGCAAATGACGAAGAGTTCAAAATCCAGCTAACCGTGGAGGTGGACACGAGGGAGGTGCCAAAGCAGAACTCTACAACCCAGAAGGCCTATGAGCATTTGGGTAGCCCGGTGACACCCTTTCCCCAGGCCGAAATCCCTTTTGAAGACGTTCCCAAAGGGAAACGCTTCCCCAAGGTCCGGAGACGTGACGGAAACACAACGGGAAGATTCCAAGAGGAGATGAGAATCCCGCCGGTGAACATCTCACTTCTCCCAAGAGAAGCCCGGGTGAGACTGAGCAACTTGGATCTGCAACTGGAGCTTGGAGACATCACCCTGAAAGGATACAACTTATCCAAGTCAGCCTTGCTGAGGTCTTTCCTGGGGAGCTCACCAGATGCTAAAGTAAAACCTCAAGCTAGAAGGACAGATGAAACAAAAGACAACTTGGAGATCCCGCAGGAAAAGCCCTCTCACAAAAGCCCAGGTGGCTTTGTTGGTGGTCAGAGATCGGAGAGATGGACGTCCCCAGTGGGGACAGTGAAGGCGAATGGCCGGGACAATGATTTGAATCCACCCCCGGTCTTGGAGACCAATGCAAGATTTAAGCCAGAGACTCGGGCGCCACATGCACTAGGCATGCGTGTACCCAAAGAAGAGCCCCCGGGGAGAGAAGAGGAAGGAGGCCGAGTGGAGGGCGATGTTGACAGCCGCATAGCTGTAAATGAAGTAATGCCCGGACGGAGGCTGCAGCACTACACGCACACTTACCCAGGCTTTTTGCCTTGGGAGAAAAAAAAGTACTTCCAAGACCTTCTTGATGTAAGTTAGATCCAGCCTTATTCTTTGTCATGCCCCGGGAACATAAGTACTTTCTAAGTGCTAATGTAATAGTAACTACCATTTGTTGAGTACTTTCCTGTGACCACGACTGAAGTAAGCGCTTTTCTCGAGTGATTTCATTTAATTTCCCCAATAACCCTCATAATAAAAATGCCCCAAACTTTTGCAGTCTAGGTAACGGTCCTGATGTGAGTAAGCGTTTTAGCCGGGGTGGAGAACAGCAGTGATGACCTGTCTCCTTAGCCCTGTACTCTTCCAGCTTTACTGGTGAGAAACCTGAGGTTCAGATAAGTTCATTGGCATTTCCACCATCAGTGCCACCGGCCGCTTAAGCCAAACCTCAGAACCAGGGCTCTTGTCCATTGTCCCGACGTGGCCTTCACTATGCCATGGTGACGTTTTTCCTGAAGGTGCTGCCACAGTGATGAACCCTGGGGAGTACAGACACAGGACGACCAAGAGGCCACCAAGCAGGACAGATGGAAAGCTGATAGTTGTGGCCATGAGGTGTCTCTGTTGAGTCATAGGCAAGGAGTCCCAAAGGAGATGGCCTCAGGAACCACCACATCCTGTGAGCTGACCCTAGATGGGTCGGAGTTGACAGACCAAGAAAAGTTGTGTGGTCAAGGATGGATGGTGAAGAAGAACATGGACTGGGGCCTGTGTCTTGTTCCTCAGCACTTTCAGAAGGCATCTTTTGGCCTTGCACGTTGGGCATTTACTAATTGAGTGCAAGGTGGCAGTTCTTGACTGTGTTTCTTTTTATAATTCCCCACCTGTCCTTTAAAAAAGTATAGGAGTGGCTGGGCGGTGGTGGCGCACGCCTTTAATCCCAGCACTCAGGAGGCAGAGCCAGGCGGATCTCTGTGAGTTCGAGGCCAGCCTGGGCTACAGAGTGAGTTCCAGGACAGGCACAAAGCTACAGAGAGAAACCCTGTCTCGAAAAACCAAAAGAAAAGAAAAAAAAAAGTATAGGAGTTGGACTGTAGACCAGTGAAATTTTCAAGCAGTACAAAAATCTGCCCTAAAAGGGGAAGGTCTTCTTGAATCCCCTTCCTTGAGATTGGATCAGTGACTGTCCTTCCAGTCTTTGTTCCGGGTGCATAAACAAGCCACCTATGCGTTTTCCGGCCAGCAGTGGTGATTTACACACCATCCCCACGTCCCCTGTGGCTGCCGCTGACTCGGTCCTTGTGAGAACGCAGCCCTTGGCAATGCCTTTGCCCTTCAGCAGCTGGACCTTTCCATTATTTGGCCACGACAGCACCTCAGCGAGCTCTTCCACCTATCTTACGCTTACGTTTTTATTCCATCGCTGGAATCGCTAGGTTACGTCCTTGTAAACTTGATGTCCTAAAATGTGGCGCCACGTCGTGCTCCGCAGGGCACAGGACTGCTCGCTGCTCCGCCCCGCTAACCGGCACCTCGTCATTGCCATTCCTCCACATTTTCTTCAGTCTGGGGAGCAAAAGATTGCTTCTGTTAAAGTATGTTCACATTCTTGGCCAATGTTCTTTGCCCGTGCGGTTCTGCCTAGCTGGTTTTGTCTCTGTTGTAGAGTGAGCTCCATTTCTTTTAGTCCTATTCAAAACTCAGATACGTGCTCCTTTGTCACCAGGAAAAGTAGCTTGACATTTAAAGCACTGTGAAGTTTGTATGGAAATAATCTTTCTAAATGTTGTACTGAATTGACTTTGAAGTCATGTGTTCTGTGACTAGTTTTTAAGGCACACTTAACAGGCCTGTTATATCGCTGTTATGCTCAAGCCAGTGTTTTCCTTAAGATCCTTAAAATGGCCTGACAGCATGAAGTTCACTCACCTTGAGGACTGTCAGTGACCAGTTAACACATTCTGTAACACAGGGCATGTGATGCCTTTCCCTCTTGTTAATAGAATCTGCTTTGGACTAAACACAGGAGGAAGAGTCATTGAAGATAGAGTTGGCATACTTTACTGATAGCAAACGTACGGGGCGGCGTCTACAAGATACGTTCGCGGACTCACTCCGATACGTCAATAAAATTCTAAATAGCAAGTTTGGATTCACATCCAGGAAAGTCCCTGCACACATGCCGCACATGATTGACAGAATCGTTATGCAAGAACTGCAAGATATGTAAGTCTTCGCTGTGCACGTGTGCTTGCCTGCCTGCCTGTGTACTTGACATTTGCATATTTGCCCTGATGAGCTGTGAGTCAGATATGAAGCCATATAAATAAGATGTGAAGACATACTTCTGTTTTCATAAACCTCCAATACTGTATGTACTTGGACAATCCAAAGCCCTTTGTGTGTTACATTTGGACAGGTTCCCTGAAGAATTTGACAAGACGTCATTTCACAAGGTGCGCCACTCCGAGGACATGCAGTTTGCCTTCTCGTATTTTTATTATCTCATGAGTGCAGTCCAGCCCCTGAATATTTCTCGAGTCTTTGATGAAGTAGATACAGACCAGTCTGGTGTCTTGTCTGATAGGGAAATCCGGACACTTGCGACCAGAATTCACGATCTGCCTTTGAGCTTGCAGGTAATATATTGTTTCAGCCTGTGACACACAACAGTGAAAAAGTATACTTCTGACAATACCTCTTTTTCTAGTACATTTCAAGTAAAGATAACTCTGAATAGTTAATGCGTGGGCTAGTGGCTCATCCATTTCTTAGTGCCAGAACTAAAATATTTGAAATGTGTGTTTTATGGATTTATTTTTCGTGCTCTTGCGTTGGGGTAATCGTCTGTTATCTGAGGGGAGAGCCAGGTGGTAGGTAACCTGCATATGGTCCTTGTGGCAAGTTCATTCAGGGTGTGGGGGTGTGACTGGCTGGAGATCTCAGCCACGTCCTTCTGTGGTCCTTAGAAATGCAGAACTCATGCATGGAGACGTTAAGATGGATTGGGTTGCACTGTATTCTTCCTTGTTGAGTCTGGGTCACCGTGAAAAAAACGGGGTGTTTCACCAGCCTCACATTCTATTTCAGATGAGGATGAAATATTTGTTGCTGCATTGTCTTATTTTGCTCTTTTGAAATGTTCTTATTTTAGACTTAAGAATCCTACTGCTTTTGAGCCCTTTAGAATAGCCTCTTAGAGACTTTCACATACTTCTTTATTATGATTTTTTTTCCTTTTATTTTTTGAGATTATAATATAATTATATCATTTTCCCCTTTCCTTTCCACCTTCCAAGTCCTTTCATTTACCTCCCTTCTCGAGCTTTTTCAAATTCATGGCCTTTTCATCCTCATTAATTGTTGTGTATGTATATTGATTAGTATTTTGGATCCCTGGTAGTGGGTTTCTCTGCTGGTGCAATAAGCCAAATCGAGCTGAATTAAAAGTAAAGGACCAGGTTTAATCTGAGCAAAGTATTCCCTATCTCAGCGGAAGAGGAGAAATCACATGGCAGGTCTAGGTCTATGGACCGGAGCTTAAATACCCTGTAGGTGTGGTCTTGAGCAGCCCTGGGGGAGGAGCCGTGACTTGGTGGGCTATCTGAGGGGCAGGGTTTGGGGTGGGGGGGCGCTGAGGCGGAGCTTCCAACAGAACATATATGTGTGTGTGTGTATGTGTGTGTGTGTGTATATATATATATATATATATATATATATATATATATATTCCTAAGTACATAAATACAACCTGCACAGTCTGTATAATGTTACTTGTATGCACCTACTTTTTATTTTCAAGCCAGTTTTTATCTATAGTGTATATAACAAATTTATAAGAACATATATGTGTGTGTGTGTGAGTGTGTATATATATATATGTATGTGTGTGTGTGTGTGTGTGTATATATATATATATATACAACTTTAAATACATAAATACAACCTGTGCGGTCTGTATAATGTTACTTATATGCACATACTTTTTATTTTTAAACCACAGCTTTTATCTATAGTGTATATAACAGATTTATATTTTGCTTTGGTTAGGATTTGACAGGTTTGGAACACATGCTAATAAATTGCTCAAAAATGCTTCCTGCTAATATCACTCAACTGAACAATATTCCACCAACTCAGGAAGCATACTATGATCCCAATCTGGTAAGTTCCATGTTAATCCTTATCAGATGTATTTCCACCATTTCTGTGTAGCACATCAAAACCAGAGGCAATACAGCAGCACAATTAATACACAGTCACTTACATCTTGCTTTAGAACCCGACCCTACTTTGGTTACTACTTTGGATTGGTTACTTGGATTCCATAAACAGACATTCTAGTGACCACGGGTAACACCAGAACTCTCTTTTGGAAAGAGAACACTCCAAAGAAATACATCAGAAGGGTGCTGCTGGCCCTTCTTGGCCTTATGGGAGATGGCAGATGAGCTCCACACACCTGTGGCAACGTCACTTGTCCAAAATAATCAGAAGATGGTTAACTGTAAGAGATGTCCCCATTTCAGAGATGTGAAAATATATGCACCTCAGAATTGATGAAAGGGCATAAACTATTTAACTTGGTTTTGTAAGTTGTACATATGATATATGGGAAAATGCTTAGAAAATCAGTTGGATAAGGAGGGAAATGGGAAGCATACACTATGACTTGAATTATCAAGACTTCCCAAATATAATCCACCCCCTGCTTGAATACCAGAACATACATAGCTCAAAAGATAGATTAAATCACAGAGAGTTTTCTGGTATTGTTGTCTTCTCCATACTTTGTACAATGAATAGCTTTTGCTTTCATGATTAGAATAAAATTCTATTAAAAAGTTTCCTGGAGGGAAGAGGTGGCTTGGTGGTTAAGAGCACTTTTCACTCTTGTGGAGGACCTGGGTTCGGTTCCCAGCACCTACTTGGTGGTTTACAACTGTTGGTAGCTCCTGTAACACTGCCGGTTCACAGTAAAAGGGTATATGTGTAATCAGTAGTCATTTTCTGCCTCTGGAGAGAATAAAATCATTTTTAAAACATAGAAATTAAATTATGCTTGCTAAAGAACATTCTCGGGAGAGTTTAAAACAATAAAAATTCCTTTTTAAACATTTCCCTAGATTTAGTTATGCCAGTTCTGTGAAAGCTAATAGAGTCAAGGGTGTCTACAGGTTAATGACCTGTTGTTTGTTGTGGTTGTTGTCGTTTTTAATTCTGTTTTAAGCCAGGCCTGGTGGCACGTGGCCTGTGACCCTTGAGAGGCGGAAGTGAGAGACCCACTAGTTTAAAATCAGCCTGGGTCTCCTTAGGAAGTCAGATCAGCCAGGACTCCATAGGGAAAGGCTGTCTAAGAAGGCAGACAACATTAACTACTTAATTAGGCCAAGGATGGGTCATTAGTTTTTCATTCACGTGTTTGTCAAGGTAACTAAAATGCTCATAGTTATCTGGGACTTGACCACGCCCTTTCTCCTCAAGAGGGGAAGTCAGCACTCCAGATTGCCAGCCCCATCCCTTGTCTTTTCAGATATCTTTATGTGTACCCCCAGAGCGCAGCTAGGACGTAGCTCAGAGGGGAGCTCCTGAGCCCCGTGAACTCTTGGTGACCCCTACGTTCAGCACTCAAGGCTGGTGCCTCACTTGCTCTTTCTTGTCCTGCCCTTGATGGACGGACTGACTGACCCACCTGTGTTCTCTTGCAGCCACCGGTCACTAAAAGTCTTGTGACCAACTGTAAACCAGTAACCGACAAAATCCACAAGGCATATAAAGACAAGAACAAATACAGGTGAGTGGTAAATGCGCCTTTGTTCAGCTGAAGGACAGTTCTAAAGGTCTGGCATGTTTGTGCCCTTACAGTGTTTTACTAAACTGTGCGTTCATTCAAAGGTTACGTGAGATTTTCCTCTAGTAATCTTTTTTGTTTTTCGAGACAGGGTTTCTCTGTGTAGCTTTGCACTTTTCCTGGAACTCACTTGGTAGCCCAGGCTGGCCTCGAACTCACAGAGATCCGCCTGGCTCTGCCTCCCGAGTGCTGGGATTAAAGGCGTGCGCCACCACTGCCCGGCTGGTTTGGTTTTTTTGTTTGTTTTTCTTTTGGTTTTTGTTTGTTCGTTTGTTCGTTTTACAAGACAGGATTTTTCTGAGTGTATTCCTAGCCGTCCTGGAACTCACTCTGTAAACCAGGCTGGCTTCGAATTCACAGAGATCTATCTGCCTCTGCCTCCAGAGTGCTGGGATTAAAGGCCTGCATCACCACTGCCCAGCTTCACTAAAGTTTTTAAGAATGCTCATGTATTTATTAAACTCTTTAAATATGTTTGACAAATAGGTTTGAAATAATGGGAGAAGAAGAAATTGCTTTCAAAATGATTCGTACCAATGTTTCTCATGTGGTTGGCCAGTTGGATGACATAAGAAAAAACCCCAGGTACTAATTTTTTATAATTTCTTTTCTGATTGATTATAAAAATGTGGGTTTTTTTTTTTCAATTCTAAAAATAAGTATGACTAAAAAGAGAACAGGCAGGACTAGAGAGAAGGGAATGACTTAGTTCAGGTTGGAGTAGACGGAGAAGCTCCGTGGTAAAAGGACCTAGCATTTCAGCTGGGTTTGACCAAAGAGACAGGACTTGTGAATCAAGTGTAAGTTCCCCACGGAGGGCCTCACCCAGACTGCTGAGAGATGGGGGCCCAGAGCAGACTGGATGGGAGGGGTGGGGCTCGTAGGCAGCTGGCACTCAGTATTTCTGAAAAGGTTCTTCCTGAGCAGCTGTCCTGACAGTTAGACTGAGTCCCTGGTGCCCTGGCACACAGGAGGGGTCACTTGAGTGCTTCTCTAACTGCTGGGAGAATTTGCTGGCTGTTTGACAGCCTGGGCTTCTTAGTCTTTCGGTTTTCTGTTTTGTTTTATCTTAGAGGCAGGTTCTCACAGCCCACGCTGGCCTGGAACTCATAGAGATCTGCCTCAGCCTCCTGAGTCCTGAGATAAAGGCACCAGCCACCAGGCTCAGCTAATTTCCTTTTTAAAAAGCTCTTTCCCTCTTTTATTCTTTATGTAAGTTCCTAAGATGTTCCTGCATCCTCTCTGTTTTTCCAAGAATTGGTAGTTGGAGCTGAAGGTTTTGTTAAATTTGTTTTGTTTTGTTTTTTTTAGTTTTCAAAAGTGTTGTCACATCTTATCATACTCTTAATGGAACCTTGCTTGGTTTAGTGACTTTTGCCTTCAAGAAAACTTGAAACAAGAAGGGACACACTGTCCTAACCCAGTTTTGCTGAACTCTAGCCTCTTAGCTTGGTTGGAGATACATGAATTCAAAACTCAAAAGGTCTGTACCGTAGGACACCATCTGTATGTCAGGCATGCACATAGTCAACTCAAAGAACCTGTTCTAGGTGCTTACTAATTATTCTCCTAGCTTCTAACACAGTATTGCAGCCAGTCAAATACATTTTCTGAACACATACATCTGTCTGCACTTAATGTAAGTCATTTATTTATTCCCGTAGTTACATGGACCTTTCAGAAATATCTGCCCTAGTCCTCTTGTTTTACAGGTAAGGAATTTGCAAGGAAACTCTACAAAACACTCTTCCCCAGGGAGCTCTATCAGCAAATGTACCAACTTAGGGTGCTGGCACATTGGAAATAGTTTTGGAACCCAGATCTCTTACCTTATTGGATCAGACTCATGTGTGTGATGACCAATGACGTTAGCTCTCTGTTTCAGGAAGTTTGTTTGTCTGAATGACAACATTGACCACAATCATAAAGATGCCCAGACAGTGAAGGCTGTTCTCAGGGACTTCTATGAATCCATGTTTCCCATACCTTCCCAGTTTGAGCTGCCAAGAGAGTATCGGAACCGTTTTCTTCATATGCATGAGCTGCAGGAATGGTAAATTCTGGTTTTGTATATATATGTATGCCCGTGTATCCACATATACGTTTGTATCTGGATTTTAGATTCCTGGCATTTCTTTAACGTGTTATCTGTTGTGTGATTTCTTTGGGAAAATATAGTTACAATGTTTGTTTTACTAAACATTTAAAAGACATTTACTGGCATTTCAAGAGATTGAAAAATTTATGTAACTGGGTTTTTACAGTTTTCCTGAATGAAACTTCATTTATTCAATTGTTTGTTGCTCAATGTCTAAGTGGACAGCAGCATTGATTTGGAAGATCTGGTTGTGTCGTGCAGAATGGGAGGCACATGAAATCAGCATGGTCTGACCTGAATGTCAAGCAAGCTTTCAGAACCAACGGAAACTTCATTTGGTAAATTATTTTAGAAAGTGTCTGCTGTAGTTGGAAGGATGAAGACAAGAGAAGACAAGGAAACATTGAACTGGAGATCATAGACTACACCTCACCATTTTCAAGCATACGTACGGTTCAGAGGCATTTATATATTCATGGTGTGTTCAGCATTGCTTGGGTTTGAAGAACTTTTCATCACTCCAGAAGAGTCCCAGTGCCCTTTGAGCAATCATTTTCCCATCACTTCACCCTCAGCCCCTGGTGACCACTTAATTTGCTTTCTCACCATGGATTTGCCTGTTCTGGATATTGTTTATGTAAGGATTGTGCCATGTGACCTTGTGTAACTGATGTCACTTTAGGGGAATTGTTTTCTTCAGTGATAGGGATCAAACCCAGGGCCTTGTCCATGTTAGACAAGTGCTTTACAACCAAGATACACTCTGAGCCCTTGATTTTTTTTTTTTTTTTTTTTTTTTTTTTTTTTTTAAGGCAGGGTCTCTCTTTATATAGCTCATGCTGGTCTGGAATTCCCTTTGCAGCCCAAGCTGGTCTGCCCCTTGTGATCTGAACCTTGGCCCAGCTTCATGAGTGCTGGGATGTAAGTACATGGAGTAATTTGCTCACACTAAAGCAACTGGCAAATGGTAGATCAAGCCTGACTAAGTTGTATGTAATATGTAATGGCAGCTTTGAGGTGCTCACATTCTGTCCATCGTGATAGGCATCAGATAGGATATATTGGTGGTGGCAGTAAGGTTTGTGGTGATATTGGTGTACTGGAGATGGAACCACTGATTCTTTTGGTGACATTGGGACTTGATTTTGTCCTTATGAAACATAGCTCTCATCCCAAGGGGAATAAAAGCTTATTCTTGAGCCAAATGTGAGTGGGCATGGCCCAGGGAATGAATTCGTATTTCCCAAATGATGTTTCTATGTGGAAAAGGTTTCATGAAGTCCTTCCCAAACACCGGCTGTCAGAAACTCATTGAAGTGGATGATGAATACAAGCTTCATACTTTCTATGAGAAGTGCAAAGCCACAGAGGTAGCTGCTGATGCTCTGGGTGAAGAGTGCAAGGGTTATGTGGTCCAAATCAGAGGTGGGATGACAAAATGACAAGGTTTTCACATAAAGGTGTCTTGACTCATGGCCGAGTGTGCTTGCCATTGAGCAAGGGGTGTTTTTGTTATAGACCAAGGAGGATTGGTGGTAGAAGTGCCAGTCTGTTCAGGATGCACTGTGGATGCCAATCTGAGTGTTCTCAGCTTGGTTATTGCAAAAGGAAGAAAGGAAGAAAGGGAGAGAAGGATATTCCTAGACTGATGGACACCACCGTGCCTCTAGGTTGAGAGCTCACAGGATCCAAAAGCTTTTCAATCTCTCTGAAGAAGATGATGCCTGCAAATATGTTGTCAAAAAGCCCTTAAACAAAGAAGGGAAGAAGCCCAGACCAGAGCACCCAAGATTCGGGGTCTTGTTACTGCACCTGTTCTACAATATAAACGCTGGCATCACTCTGAAGAAATAACATGCTAAGAAAAATGAGGAGACTGCCTGCCTGCCTCAGCCTCTTGAGTGCAGGATACGGGCTCAGCTAATTTTTTTCAGATTTATTTATTTGTTTGTTTGTTTGTTTTTTGGTATTTCGAGACAGGGTTTCTCCATGTACTTTTGGTGCCTGTCCTGGATCTTGCTCTATAGACCAGGCTGGCCTCGAACTCAAAGAGATCTGCCTAGCTCTGCCTCCCTAGTTCTGGGATTAAAGGCATGCACCACCACCTATATGCATAGGTAAATTCAAACTGTCCCATTGTAATGAAATCACTACTGCCCATTTCATTTCTTAAGTTCAAAAAGAGTTCTGGTACCATTCCTAAAAGTTCCTCTGAGTGCTTGAAATCAGGGCCTGGCTTGTCAGCTGCCCTCAAGTCTTTGTGTAGCTGTGAGAGTCATCATGACTCTGAAGCAAACAGCTTCAAATACAAGGAGTCTATAACCAAAACTTTTTTTTTTCAGTTCAAGCAAGCATCTCTGAAACTTTCACTTTCCGCTTCCACTGCACTTTGCAGTCTGTAGCCTTCTGTAATCAGGCCATTCTCAGGACTTCTGTGTCTTGAGGCTAGAGAGCTTCACCTCCCGCCATACTCCAGCTGCTATAAGCTGACCTGTGGCTTTCCCACAGCAACCCTGGCTCTGGGAGGGTCCCATTATCTGCTTTCAGCGATGGTCCCGTGCTCAGCACCCTGGGTCCCGGAATTGACTGTATGCTGTTCTGGTCCACTGCTGAATGTAGCCCTAGGGCAACTCCATGGATCCAGCCACACCTTGCTGCTGGGATCTCTACCGCGTCTCAGCACCTCCTGCAGAGCCCCAGTCTGACTGTTCAGCCTGGAGCACCCAGCAGTTTCCACAGAGCCCTGGTCTGGCTGTTCACCCTGGAGCACAGCTCTCACCTCCAACACTTCTTGGGCTCCCACATGTCTCAGCTGCTCCTCCGGCACTGACACTGCTCCTCTGCTCCTGGAAGCAGTCTGGTCTCAGCAGTCTCCGCTGCTCACCACTGCTCACTGTTCACCTTTCCCGAGGTGAGGCAAGCCACTGGGCTCTCCAAGCCACTGCCTGCTATTCACCTTTCTCGAGGCATAGCATCTCAAAGGTTGCAGAACCTGGCTGCTCTCACTGTCTTGAGGGTCTGCTACCTGTGCTGTGCTGATGCCTCACGGGTCTCAGCTGCACATGTCTGCTGCTGTTTTCTGAAGTTGGCAGTCTCTGAAGCTGCTCCTTGCAATTGTTGGAGGCTTCTGGAACTGCCATGTTTGTAGTCTGCTATGGGTGCTGTTTTCTGCATCCCAGGTTGGGAAAACCTACTCTGAATTACTTTTTTATTAAACCTTCCCCATATAATCCCTCTATTAAACCTTCACTGTGTCCCTAGACCTAAAGCCCATATCCTACCTTAATATATTATACTTGTCTTACTTAAGCCTACACAGTATCTTTTTACATTAAGCCTTTAGACTCACATTCAACATTTATACTTTTCACAGACTCACATTCAACTTATACTTCTTACAATCTTATATTCTTGAGGAAACTCTGTAGGACTACCTTAGCAAAGATACTTCTTACTCTTAACAGAACTAACTTGCACTAGGAAGACTTTCTTAACAAACTGTCTGTAGGGCTACCATTAGCAAATACCTAACTTAGCAAACACCTAAAAGAGATTTCTTAACACCTAGAGGAGATTTAACATTATCTTTCAACAAGCCAGAGTAATTGTCTTTGGACTTGGTTTAGAAATTAAAAATAAAAGTAAACTTTTAGTCATCAAACACAAAAAGAGAATGAGAAGAAAAACTTTCTAAGGGACACAATGTATTTCTAAATGACTTCACTGCCCTTATAGGTAGCTCTTTGTTATCCAGCTACCATAAAAAACACTCTGCACAGCTTCTAGGCAATATAAGGCACTTTCTCAAAAGAACCTGTATAGCCAAAAGTGGCACAGCTCTGAGCTTTGTAGCCTTTCAGTTTTTCCTTGGAACTGACATTCAACAAACTCGCAGAAAAATTACCTCCTTCTTGATTTTTTTTAAAGCTGTTTTTTAAGTTTACCATAAGCGTTTTTAATGATATCAGTGTTTCTCTAGAATCTTAAATATAACTCAATCTCATAAGCTTTTTTCGTTTTAATTATCTCCTGTGAGGTAAGCTGTTTGTTTACTCTCAGCTTTTTGGGAAGTCAATCTAAACTTTCTAGCAATGCTTAGGAAAGAAACTTCATTATGAGCTGAAAAAAAAACGATTTTCCGGATAGTACCACCATCTTTAGTGGGAAAACTACTTTTCCCCAGAATGCATGTCTCTATATTGTTACGCTGTTACTACATTTCCCAAGCTACTTTTCAACAATACATTTCCCATCATGACTTTCAAACTACCTTTTCAACACTGCATTTCCCATCATGCCAGCTTGTTTCTGTTTTCAGGGTCTGTGTGATTTGTGTTTAATACTGAAATCAAGCTTTTGCTTTTTTATCAAGGGAGGGTTTTGTTATCGCTAAAGCTTGCTTTAGGACAGGTGTACTTACCTAATCAGACATTTCCCCAAGCAGGTTTCATCTGTCTGACCTCCTGCACTCAGTTGGAGCTTATTGCCAGAGGCAAAAAAAACCCTTCAGGGCTTCACATTCCTCACTGGGGGAGTGAGGGAAACTGAGAGCACTTGAAACAAAGCTTTTTTTCAGAAAGTTCTTTTCCCTGATAGAAAAGAGAGCTTTTCTCCTGGATAGTTCTCTATCCTGTCCTGGCTCAGATCTTCCCTCAGGCAGAGTCCCAGACACTGGAGTGCAGCGGCAAACACAGCTCCGCTTCCTTGCTTTCTCTGCACCAGCAGCTTCCTCAAGCTGCCCTGCACTTTCCCGAGCATCGTTAGCCAGGTTCTAGCTGCAGAGGGATTTCTGGCCGCTTTTTACTGGCTTGAAGAGACAGAACTTAGCAGAGAGGTTTTGCCCCGTTCTAAGAGGTTTGTTGTTTTCCCTTAGAGCAAATCGCAGATGATTTTTCCCCCCAAAGATGTCATTAACAGGTGAATCTAATTTTGCTCCTACAGAAAGAGAAGCTGAGAAAGTTATGAAAGGTTTTTAGTTTTTTAGAGAGAGACTTTACCAAGTTTTTTTTTTTTCCAAGAAAGCTTTCAGTTTTTGAGAAAGAGTACCACGTTTTCCCAAGAATTCTAAACTTTGGCTCTTTTCATCTACATTTTGTCTCAGGGAGAGTCTTTTCCTGCCGCTTGGGACCAAAAGCTCCTCACGGAAATCTTTTTTTCTGTCTGTTTTTTCTTCTCCTCTGATTCTTCCTAGCTTGCGTTCCTAGCCCCAAAATTAGAAAATTAAAGACATAGTTTCTCTGTCTAGGTGCTTATCATATTCTATTTTATCCTAAGTTTTGTCTTCACACTATGTTCCTACACTTACTTGTCTAAGTTTTTCTGTACTATTTTACTACATTCTCCCTTCCTTATTTTTCAAAGGTAGTTTTGCTTTATTTCTCTTTCTCATCACCCTGAGACAGCCCCTCCTTCCTTCCCATGCCTCAGCTTAAACTGGACCGTGTGCCTTGTCAGTCTGTCCTTACACAGCCTCCGTTTTCACCCTGATTGTATGACACCCCCATACCCCCACATTTCATCTCCTCGCCTGAGAGTTTTGCAGGCAAACCTCATGTCTGGAGTAGCCTCGGCCCCTGCCAGCTGCCTCCCTGTGGCTCCGCTTGTCCCAGAGCCCCGTGGGCCCTGCTCATCACTTGTGCGGGTCTCTGGGTGACGGTTGCCCTCTGTCACTGTTACTTCCCCCTTGTCAGCCAGCCATCGCCCTTCTCACCCAAGGCTCAGGGAAAAAGTGACTCTGAGGGTACAGGTGTCCCCAGTTCTCTGGGGGCTTTCCACAAAGCTTTCATTTTGGTAACACATGTTCCCAGCCACCTGATGGATAGCATGTCAGTGACCCTGCAAAGTTTCTAAACACTGTCGGGCAGAAACTTAATCTTGTTTATCCCTCGGTGTCCAGGGATTTTTTTTTCCCCCTGAAATAAAGGAATGTGAATGAATAAATTTTAAAAATGTTATATTAAAGTCTACAAGTACTGTTCTTTGGAAGCCGAGGAAACGTTTACTACCAAAGTACAGTATTTATTATAAAATAACAGATCTGAACTTGTGTTAGAAATGTGTATTTTAGTAATATTTTAAGGTTGACTATGGATAGTATCTTTTTGACTTACATATGCATAGTATGATATTGTAAAAATCAGCGAATAACTTTTGTCTTTGAACAGGAGGGCATATCGAGACAAGTTGAAGTTTTGGACCCATTGCGTGCTAGCAACATTGATTATATTTACTATATTCTCATTTTTTGCTGAACAGGTAAGTTTTCTATAGTTTACATAGATCTTAAAGCAATATTTCTGAGTGGGCTGTATCAGCATCTTTTAGAGCATGATATAAATTCATGCCCACAGTCAGGTATAAAATCCCAGTACTTGGGAGGTTGAGTCACAAGTTTGAGGATAGCCTGGGCTGCTTAGAAGTTGTATTGAAAATCTGAAGCCGGGCGGTGGTGGCGGCGCGTGCCTTTAATCCCAGCACTTGGGAGGCAGAGCCAGGCGTATTTCTGTGAGTTCAAGGCCAGCCTGGTCTACAGAGTGAGTTCCAGGAAAGGCACAAAGTTACACAGAGAAACCCTGTCTCAAAAAACCAAAAAAGAAAAAAGAAAATCTGCACCACCACCAATACTACCACTCCTGCCCCCAAAAGGAAAGGAAAGGAAAAGGAAATCTGTTCCACAAACAGAACATGTAAATTTTTCCTTTTAGTTTATAGCTGTCCATGTGTCCAGCATGTTAAGTCATTCTGTACTCAGCCAGCCCAGTGATCTTTCATTCATTTATCTTGTCTTCCCTTTTACTTACAAACTCCGGGGGTTAACAGTGGCCCTCAAAGTTTATATAACTGAAAAGTCCTAGTTCTGGCCCCAGCTTTGCCTCGAATCCTTATGTGGAACTAAGTTTTGTTTCTTTAACCTTCCCAGAGAAGCCAATGTCTTCTCAGGTGCCGATGGCCCTGTGTGTCCCTGCGCACACACCCACAGTCCCCTCACATTCCTTTGAATTGCCTGATTGCCCTTCCTCCTCTGTCACCCTCGTCCATGTGGGCTCACTTCTGTCCACCTGGGCATACATCCCACCTCCCCGGTGAGGGTCCGGAAAGAGGGATGGTAATGAAACGGTAAGAGAATCTTCACTGAGCTACAAGTGTAAAATACCGTGAAGAACAAAGGAGGAATGGGGAATGAGGCCCACCTGACTGAAGCAAGCCCAGCGGTCTCCTCAGCCTCCAGAGGAGGTGACTGCTGAATGGAGCTGCCGTGCTTGTCACTCACAGGAAGTGCACACGGAGAAGGAAGAGTGTAAACACGGAGAGCTTTAGGATCGGTGATG